CATATCAACCCTATGAAATAGATACAATTATTATTCTGATTTTGTGGCTGAGAAAGGTTATTATTGTAGCGTAGAGAGGTTATTTGGTGTGGTAGTTAAGGTTTTGTGCCAACTTAACTGGGTCAAGATTCTCAGTGGTTTAGCAGTTAAGATGTAGTGATCCTCCATGATGACATCTAATATCATGTAACAACCTCCACAATGAACAGCCAATCAAATAAAAGGATGTTTCCTTGGGGGTGTGACCTGCGAACATCTTTCATCTTACAGGAGATAAAAGGAGAGAGGGGTTAGCACAGTAGGAGGGACCTTCTAACACCAAAAAAGAAGTGCTAGGAATGGAGCACGTCCTTTGCACTTGGGGTGATTGCACTATGAAGCTCCTTGTTGTTGTTTTGTGCTGTGGAGTCGGTTCCGACTCATAATGACCCTGTGCAGGGTTTCCGAGGCTGTAAATCATTACGGGAGCAGAAAGCCTCATCTTTCTCCTGCGGAACAGCTGGTAGTTTCGAACTGCTGACCTTGAGGCTCGCAGCAGCCCAATTCATAACCACTACGCTACCAGAACTCCTTGAACCAGAGAAAGATCGGTGCCAAGACACTTGGAGATCCCCAAGGACTGGTGGGCTTACAGATGCTGAAATGAGACTAGGACCTTTCTCCAGAGCCAGCACTCTGAATTCAGACTTCTAGCCTCCAAAACTGTGAGAAAATAAATTTCTGTTTGTTAAAGCCATCCACTTATGGTTTTTCTGTTATAGCAACACTGAATAACTAAGACAGTTGCTAAGTGGTAGACAGATATTCAATGGGCCCAAGGGTAGCAACTGTGAGGAGGACACAGGAACGGGCAGTGTTTCATTCTGTTATGCATTGGTCTTTATAAGTTGAAACCAACTTGACAACACATATCAACAACAAAAGCAGATATTTAAACCAGTCAGTCAGATGTCTCCAGCCAGACTCCAGAGTCTGCACTCCATTCTTTATGGTAATACCATCCACAATAAGCCTTCTTTGCAATCTTTCTGTCCAGACACTTACTAGATCACAGCATTTTCTCTGTCTCACACCCACCCACCAACACACACACACTCCTCCCTTTTTTTGCTTTCTTTTTTTCTCTTCTTCCCCCTTCTCCGTAGAAAAGATGCAGAAGTCTTACCAGGGAGAACCAGTGTGCTCTCCTCTGAATCACAGACAGCTGGGATCACCCTGTTCCTTCCAGCTACCCATGGCCGATTTGAGAGCAACCTGCCATGCCATTAACAATCTCTAATTCAAGAGGAAGACTTCCCGAGTTCCTGTCCATCCCTCAAAGCTGTTCCCACTTCTTCCCCATTCCTGAAAATAGCCAGTCATCCAAGCTGCATCCCAGGGCAACCTTTGGTTCGGTAGATTTTGGACCATTCATCCCTGGGTTTCTTTCTAAAGCTCTGGATCTTTTATTCTGATTGCTCTAGAATCTATCTTGCATCTAAAAGGGGTTTCAGGGTCCATCCAGAGGCCCAGCCTATCTGAATAAAATAATGTTTAGATGAGAAAGCATTTGGCAAGTCTGGCCTCCTGCAGGTTTATGGGTCTGCATTGTGAGAGCAGCATGGGGCAGCTGTGGGCAAGCTGAGTCCAGTTTGGGACAAAGGTATACAACAAGGAAGATGAGAGACAGGGCATTAACTAGAGGGAATGAACTGTAGAACTTACAAAGCCTGCAAAAGAGGAAGAGAAGTACCCAGGGAACAGGGCTGCAGCCACAGGGGATGGAATCGGGAATTAATGTGAGTAAACCAAATTGTCAGGACAGCACCAAAGCCAGCCACCACCAGTGTACAGAACAGTAGAGAACATGTGGGGTTAAGCTTGTCCAATAGTTCTGTATACAAACATGTATACACTCACATGCATACAGACAGCCCTACTCTGCTGTAGCTATTTGATTCCAGCTGTTGTTGTTGGTAAATGCCAACAAGTCGGTTCCAACTCATAGTGACCCTGTATAAGGTTTCCAAGGAGTGACTGCTAGGTTTGAACTGCCGACCTTGTGTTTAGCAGTCCAGTGCTTATCCTACAGCACCAAATCAGGACTCCAGCTAATCACCCTAAAACTCAGGAGCAACCACCAGTTCTTGCTGAAAGACCCTGACTTTGCTTACTCAGTCCATGCTGCTGGGCTGTGGTTCTCACAAATGGGCTTGCTCTGCACAAAGAAACCCACTTAAGGGTGCTCTTAAGACACTGTCCTTTCTTACCTCCTGCTTTCCTATATAGTAACCCATTGCAGTCTGAGTTTCAGATAGTGACACCGGAGGGTATCAAATATCGTGTAATGATTCTCCCCGAACATCCCAATAGTGTCCTCTATTGCCATTTGTTGGAGGGGGCCAATAATCCTAAGCATTCCCTTTACTGCTGCCAATCTATCTACCCCTACCTATCACATGATCTGTGAGTGGAGTTCTGGTGTGGCGCTGTGAGTTAACATGCCAGACTGCAAAGCCATTTGAACTGCAAGGTCGGCAGTTCAAGCTTACCAGCTGCTCCTTGGAAATCCTATACAGGGTCACTACGGGTTGGAACCAACCCCACAGCACTTTACAACAACAATAACATCACATGACCTACCTAGAGTTCTTTATTCTTCCTGTCAGTCATACTACTCTTGGAGTGGGACACCTTCCTTATTTCCTTTACAACTCTACATTTCTTTATCCTTGGTGATGAGATCATTCAGTGTTTGCCTTGTTCCCTTTTTCTGGGAGCATTATCCTGCCTGGAGTCCACCCATTTGTGACTCTATCTCAGGTTAACATACTCAAGCTCATATTTCTCGGTCTTTATCTTACTAAGTGAGAACTAGCACACAGAGCAGGGACAGGTGGTGTAGACCTTCATCTATTCTGTTTGAGATACTATTGTTCCCCACACCCCACCTCACCCTGTGTCAAGCATGTCCAAAGTAGTCTTTGGGAAAAAAAGAGGTAAGGCAAATAAAACATCCTCAGTAAAGGCAGGAAAATCCTGTTAGGATCTCCACATCCCAGAAACCTCTTCTGCCTAAACACTTTCTGTACTTGCTGAGTCTCACCAGATTCCGTTTCATTCCCATAGTGTAGGAGCTCTCTCCTTCTGCCCCACACAGCACTGAATCATCCTCTTCATCCTCCTTTTCATCATAACCAGCTAGTCACTATTATGAGTCACAACACGCTTATGGTGTAGGTGAAGGAAGCTAAGCCCTTGGTCAACGAACAGCATAGCTGATTAGTTAAAGCTCTATTCTTTGCCTTCAGAGTCTGGATTTGAATTCCAGCTCTGCTTAATACTAGTTGCAGTAAGCAAGCCTCACTTGCACCCTCTGTGAAATGTTGTTGTTGTTAAGTACCATGGAGTTGGTTCCAACTCATAGCGACCCTGTACAGAGTTTCTGAAGCTGTAAATCTTTACGGGAGCAGAAAGCTTCATCTTTCTCCCGCGGAACAGCTGGTAGTTTCAAATTGCCAACCTTGAGGTTAGCAGCCCGATTCAAAATCACTATGGTACCAGAGCTCCTTCTCTATGAAATAGGGGCATTAATAACACCTCATAGGATTGTTAGGAGAATTGATTGACATTATGCAATAAAACAGATGTACAATGCCTTTTTCCAGTTGCTGTCAACTTGATTAGACTCCTAGTGACCCATGTGTGTCAAAGTATATCTGTGCTCCATAGAGTTCTCAATACAGAATATATAGAAAAATACAATAAACAGTAGCTTTTTTAGTCTCTGGGGGAAATCATCATAGTTTTAACGAGGGACTAAATCTTAACTGTGACATTTTGTTATGATTGTGAGCCAGCAGTCCATGAAGTCCAACAGGCCTGATGTTTTAGAAATCTGGCTTTCAAGGTATCAGCACAACACAAGGTAAGCTCATTGGCATTTAGGATTTGAACCACTTGTTTATGAAGACCACACGAAACAACAGCTCTTGACATGGCACATATGTGCCTCAGTAGGATTTAAGGAGGCAATTTTGTCTTTAATAGGACAAGTTATTTAATAGGATGGTCCTGCCTTAGACATCCTTTTCAACCATCACATGAATATTCCTTAAAATGCCATTGTGTCATCATCAGAGGGAAAGAGCCATCATTGTGAGAAGTGCCATTTGGGTCACTGCTCTGTATTGGGCCACTGATAACAGCCAGTAACAATGGGCATGGGAGAGTCAAGTCTATCACGCAGCCCTGCTTGGACTGGTCTTGAGTGTTCTGTGTCTCAGCCAGACCTAATAGAGAACACAGTTGCATGGATGGACATGCACATTTGGGTTAAAGAGGGCAGTAGGCACTGTGACCACAGGCCCCAAATTCTCTGAGAATGTCTTATTTCCCTCCTATAATGGTTGATAAATATGTTCAGAAATGTGTTTAGTTTTTATACCTACCTTTATGCCAATTCACATATCTGAAAAGGAAAAATTGGGCAGGCTATCTGACTAGAAGATATATATGGAAATTAGAGTTACGAACCTCCCCTTTAATAAAAGGTTGGGGAATTATTAATTTCTCAATTTGAATGACGAATAGCACCAGCAGGCTTTGTCTGTAAGCCCTGTTGCTGATGAGTCAGATGTTCTCACCCCCTGCCTCCTTTCTCTTCCAGTAGCTATGATATGTTCTGAAGGAGTATGTTGTAGGAGGGGGTAAGAGGTATACAAGGCATCCCTGTAACCATTTTAGCTTTCTCTAGATTGAGGATTTTGCTTACGTGTGTTGGTGAGCTGAAGTCCCTGTGTGTCCTAGACTGAGTGCTCCCTTGGAGGGGAGTGTGCCTTGTAATAGAGCATCTATCTCTAAGTGGGAAGCTAACAGTGCCCAAGAGTTGACAGCTGAGAACACTCCCACCCTACACACACCGGCTGTACAGAGACGTACACTGGGAAGGCTTCACAAAGAAGTGGAACAAATAGGAGGGGGGAAGAAAGAACAATCTCAAAGGCACGAGGGCTGTTTACCTTCCCAGAGATCCACCGTTTGAAAAATGTCCGTGGTCCTGACGCCATAGGTCTCTGCTGCTTTAAGGAACTGGGAGATTTGCTCCATTTGCTTAAAAGCCATCTTTGACTCTGAGATCTTTGGGATAGGTTCTTGTCCTGGTGGGTATAAACTGTTTATCAGCTTACACAGGACCTAGGAGAAGGGAGGAAAGACAGAATCAATGTGTTCCTTTGTATTTGTAGGTCACTCATTGGAAGTGAGTCTATCCCCTATTGGGCACAGCTCACTGGATTTGGGCAGTGGGAAGTCATGAACCCCAGAAAGACACAGGCCCTGTTGTGTGGCAAGGCTCCCATACTGAGCCCTGAAAACCCAGAGCTATGTCTGATCACAGTTCTGCAGCCCGGAAGCTCCCTTCCCTCCTTGCTCCTTTCTTTCCAGGGTGAAGAAGAGAATGTTTACAGATAGGGAAAGAATGATGTGGAGTGGGAGGCAGATATAATTCCAGGCTTTCAATGGAAAGGTGAGTTAGTGAGTCTGAGAGAGGGGAGGTGTCAAATGGGTCTAAAACTGATTTATTCTATCAAAAGGCAGATCATAATGAGACTTCCATCATTTATCCAATACATACTAATGATGTCTAAAAGAACTGGACTGAGTAGAGTGTTCAGATACCTATAACCTATGCCCTGAGCAACCCAACAGAGGTGGGGTAGCAGTTATGTAATATAACAGTAAATCACAGCCTGCGGGAAATGATTGGCTTGTTTGAATCAGCAGAGCCTGCAGTCTCCAGCCTCCCAAATACAACAAGCATTTGGTTGAAAAATCCAGTATTAAATAAGGACTCCCTTTAATTTCAGGAGAACATACCCATTCACCAAACAGATATTTATCAGGGCTCTGGGAAGGATGGGGAGGTGGCTAGATCCCCAGTGCTTCCTTTGTTTGACTATCTTTCCCTTGGGGAAAGAAATGTCTCCTAGATCTGATGAACCAAGAAAACTAAGGAGACCATCAAGACATACTAATCTCTAGTCTCATTAGGAAAAACAAACCGGAATAGAATTTGCCAACAACTCAGAAGCAAACTGTGTACGGGATGGGTGGAGAATCCTCTAACTAACTAGGGAATTGTGCAGGAAGCCCAAATGCTCCAACCCTGACGAAATAAAGGCATTCCCTCCTATCTTCGTGAGACACAGCGTGCCAACAGCAGCATCTCACGCAGCCTCGCGCTAAAACAAAGGGTCCTGGAGGCTTGCTTGCCCATGGCCCCAGCAACAAAGGTCGCTGCCATCCTTACCGTCCCGTCCATTAACCATTTCTGAAAATGGGTCCTGCCGGGGGGTGGGTGCTCTATGTCCTCAGCGCACTGCAGGATGATCCAGTCCACCAGCTTGTTCTCCAAGTCCGCGTCATACTTCTGCTCGATCTTCTCCTGCACCTCTCGGCTTAAGCCGTAGCTAGGGCCCCTGTTAGCCATCTCTGCAAGAGAAGAGAGGACGCGCGCGGCATCCACACAATAACAGCACGGCAGCCGCCCCCGGGGTCCTTCCAAGCTGGGATGGGTCTGGGTGACGGCCTGGCCCAGCAGCCCGAAGCGGGCAGAAAGCCGGGCGTGGTTTAAATCAAGGAGCCTAGGAAGCCAATGGGGTTTCACCTACAAATGGTAAAGAAACGCGCAGCCAAGCGCCAGGGACTTTAGAATAAAAGAATAAAGCCCCGGTCGATCCTGGGGGCTGGGCCCCCCTCTCAGTCCCGCCTTCCCAAGAGATGATCTGAAGGACGAGGACTCACAGTCGATCGTGAACCAGGAGTAGCCGGAGTTGGGGCGGTGGTCCTTTGGTCCCCCTTCTCAGTAACACTTTGCTAAGGCAGGAACCATGGAATCGGAAAGCGCTAGTAGTTAACAGGCAGAGAGGAGGGGTGCCTTGACGTTCAGCTGTTGATATTGCATCATGCATAGAAGAATGGGGGACCCTGATTTGGTTTTCTCAGGACTAAGGAGGATCAAACCCGGGCTGTTGCTAAGAACAAGCCTAAAAGCCAGCCCTCTCTTGTGTCAGTCAAAGCCTGCACTCCCTCCCTCCACACTGCCAGCTTCTCCCTCAGCTGCACAATTCTTTCTCCTCCTCTGGGGAAACAGGCCAATTGTCAACATAGCCAGCATACAGCTGCACAATGGGATGGAGGCCTCTCGGAGGGTCCATTCTGCCAACTGTCCATCTGTTAGGGGTCGTCAAACCATTTTCCTCTGCCCTGAGGTAATAATTGTTTAAGGCAGGTTGGGAGTCACTGAGAGCCACAATCATCAATTTGTTCTCAGCCCTGAGATTTCACTATGAAACTTCCATCCTTGTGGGAACTGTTATGCCTCAGTTTAATTTATGCAAGGAATGTAGCTTTTCAGTGCTATTTTAGTCAGAGTCCAATGTACTGGGGGTCAGAGAAAAAGATCAAGACCCCTGGCAAGATGGATTGGCAAAGTGGCAGCATCAATGGATGCAAGTTTGACAGCAACTGTGAGGTTGGTCCAGGACCTGGCAGTGTTTTGTTCTGTTGTGCATGTGATCACTATGAGTTGGTACCAGCAATGTACTGAGGACTCTGGCGGTGAAGGGCTTTGATATAGAGTGGTAAATATTTCATCTCTTTAATTACAATTTTAAAAAGGACCATTAAGGCACACTGACATAGTTCGAGCAGTTACTGAATATTTGGCATAAGCACACAGACATTAGATTGTAAACCACTTGGGGGTAGAGATCAAATCTCATTAGTGTAATGTGAGGCTTTGGGTACTTTTCATGACACAAATATCCAAATATTTGTTCTTTGGGTGTTCTTGTTTTTGTTTTTTTCCTCCATTATTGTTGTTGTTGTTAAGTGCTGTCAAGTGAATTACGACCCATAGCGACCCTGCATAGGATTTTCAAGGAGCAGCTGGTGAGCTTGAACTGCCAACCTTGCAATTCAAATGG